CACACACACACAGCTCCCATAGAAGTCAGACACACAGCACACACAGAGAGAGACTATAAAAGAGGAACTGGAAGTGAGAACTAATGGCTAGAACATAGGAAGCAAAAGGCAGGAGGAGAAACTTAACACTGCCCCTTGAATACCATTGGATGGTGGTCAGCGTTTGAATGCAGAAAAAAGGTAAAACACTGCAAAATGATTAAAGTGAAACGATATAACAGACAAGGTAATAACACATTAATAGCGTTATAGCAGAACACAGTTTGCCCTTATGCATGTTATAACCATTCCTTAACAATCCCTTAACGTTGTGAAACAACAGGTGTAGATGAGTCCACAGTATGGTACATACAGAAGTCCATTCCTCCACTGACCAGATCTCTACATTCATAGTAGGAGTATGTCCCAAAGCCTGGCTGAAAGAAAATGGTCATGCTGTTGTTTAAACCAAAAAGTCAGTTTCACAAAATGTCTGTTTCCCCCCTCTCCCAATAAGTTTAATAGCAAGGAAGCAAACATCCTCTGGAAAACGCTGCACAAAACATTTTGAAGATGATCCTGATACATCTGCAATGCACACACTACGAAAGTTATGAATATTCATCTGGGAGACATGTCATGTTTTCTATGTACAAGATAATATAAGGTATTCTCTGCTCAGAAAATGTCATATGCTTCAAATGCAAAGGAAATATTTCAAGTTGTGCACCACATAAGAAAAAAGCTTAACACCTTTTTTCTCCCCCCCTCCCAGAATTAGTAGAGCGGGGGGTTTTCTCTAAAATATTAATTATAGCTTAGTATGTGCCCTTGCAAAGCTCCATGTCAAAGATGCCCTGTATAAACATCACTCGTATTTACCTGATTTTTTTTAAAAAAATATATAATATGGGTTGAAATTCAGAGCTGGTCAAGGAAATAATTGACTTTTGGGCATTTGATGACCATGATGCTCAATGGTCTGTATGAAGTGAATTGCTGCTCTCACATCATTTCCCATAAACATTCCAGCTGGCACAATACTACTGCCAAGAACTACTTAGGCAAAATGGAGCCTAGAGTGAGAACAACACTACCATGGCGAAATTGAGATAAAATTGGTATCAGGTTTGTTTTGGAACTGCCTAGTGTTTGTCAGTATTTCGTGTGGCCAGTATCTCCCCTCGCATGAGTACAAACATGATTTTATTAAGTTATATTTATGTTGCCAAGGTGATGCTGCTGTATCACAAAGACAAATTATTCCGTACCAAATGGTGCTGGTGAGCCATTTTGTATTGTGGAGGTGGGGAGGAGGGATGTTCACAGATGCCCAAAGGCCTGTAGCTCTAGGAATTCAAAGACAAACTAGGTGTGCATGCGTGTGGACGGGGAAAGAGCAATGGTCTGGATCTTAACACCTCTCCTGCCCCCTGTTCATTATGCTGAGTGGTGCCATATACTGTATTTTTCTGTGTATAACACGACCCCATGTTGTTGAGCTTCTTTTGTAAGTTCGCTGAGCTGTTGGGCAGCTTTTTGACGATCCCCCGCTCTGGCTGACGGAACTGGTGCTGTAATACACCACATACTGGCACTCACCTAATATTCCTCCTAAGCTGGGAAGAGCGGGTAAGCAGCCTCCTCTCTGACATTTCCCTGCCACAGCACCAGCCCTTGCTTACTTAGCATATTAACCCATGTATAAGATGACCCTCAATTTATCTAAAAAAATAATACAGTGGTACCTCGGGTTACATACGCTTCAGGTTACATACGCTTCAGGTTACAGACTCCGCTAACCCAGAAATAGTGCTTCAGGTTAAGAACTTTGCTTCAGGATAAGAACAGAAATCGTGCTCTGGCAGCGCGGCGGCAGTGGGAGGCCCCATTAGCTAAAGTGGTGCTTCAGGTTAAGAACAGTTTCAGGTTAAGTACGGACCTCCGGAACTTAAGTACTTAACCCGAGGTACCACTGTAATCAGAAAAAGGTCCTCTTATACATGGAAAAATATGGTACTTCTGCCCCCCAAGTCCTACTCTGATGTCCCTCACTACTGCCACAAATACTTCATCCTATCCCTGTTTTTGCTCTATGTGTGGTCTCTAAACAAATGACAAGATAACACAAGCAATGTGCAATGTTTTCCAGCAAGTTACTTCAGAAAATCAAAATAGTTAAGGCAACTATCTGCTTAAAGGTAAAGGTAAAGGGACCCCTGACCATTAGGTCCAGTCGTGACCGACTCTGGGGTTGCGGCGCTCATCTCACTTTATTGGCCAAGGGAGCCAGCGTGCAGCTTCTGGGTCATGTGGCCAGCATGACTAAGCCACTTCTGGCGAACCAGAGCAGCGCACGGAAATGCCGCTTACCTTCCCACCGGAGCAGTACTTATTTATCTACTTGCACTTTGACATGCTTTTGAACTGCTAGGTTGGCAGGAGCAGGGACCGAGCAACGGGAGCTCACCCCGTCGTGGGGATTCGAACCGCCGACCTTCTGTCTGGCAAGCCCTAGGCTCTGTGGTTTAACCCACAGCGCCACCCACGTCCCATAACTATCTGCTTACTATATAAAAAATGAAAAAAAGTTGTACTTTGGGATGTCAACCAATTCACATTTCCTGATGGGAGAGACCCATTCTGCTGTATTATTAGCAAGGTGACCATTCTTCCCTGTCGATCTCTGTAAGACATACTTAAGGGCTTAATGTGATTTAAAGGGAAATTGGATTAGGCAAAGCATGAAAAATCAGAGGTTCTGAATAGCACTAGAAGAGAATGGTAGAGCAAAACAGGAACAAAAATGAGAAAAGGAAATAGGTTGAAGGCATTCCTAGTTTAGAACGTCATTCACCCACAAAAAAATACCACAGAAGGTCAGGGTCTGTACGATGATTTGATGCTTTTACAGAGTACTGTTTTCTTTACGTCTCATTTTTAACCTCTTCAAATTTGATCAGGATAGTGGGATTTGCAGAAAGCATTCACATCTTATTGAACAAGAATTACTTGACAGACAGCTGGCTTCTTGCTGACTTGAATAGTCACACTTAATAGAAGACCTTGTTAATGACTAGTGGAGGGAATCACTTCTAGAAGCAGTTACCAGATCTACTGTGCTTGAAACACAAAGGACAGGGTGAGCAGCACGGCTGGAGAACCAGGCATTTCTCAAGTTCAGCCTGAGTAATTATAGAGCAGCAAATATATAGGAAAGTGTGCCAGATCCTTTCTGAAATAGAAGACTCCCTATTTATTTGCATTTACATACAGCTTACAACACAAGGTGGTTCACATAATGAAACAAATAAAAATAATGAAATGTGTATTTCACAATAACAGTTCATAACCCACTTGCACAGGGACCTCTTCAATTTATTACTTGGAGCGCTTAGGAACTTTAATTAATAATAAATTATGATTGCTGCTTTTTTTTTTTTTTGCATGAAATGCATATTCCATCAAGGTAGAACTTTTGTTTCTGAGACTTCTTATTTTCCCAACACTCAAATGTATGCTGCTAGGATAATGAGATCTGGAGTGTTCCATCACTCTTCTAAGCACTGCATGGAACTTGGGTGCAAGGGAGTCTCAGGCATCTATTATATATTGTGTTGTCTTGTGTTGTGTTGTGTTGTACTAGACTGGTGACCGGGAGTGGCCATCGAGACCACATAACACCAGTCTTGAAAGACCTACATTGGCTCCCAGTATGTTTCCAAGCACAATTCAAAGTGTTGGTGCTGACCTTTAAAGCCCTAAACGGCCTCGGCCCAGTATACCTGAAGGAGCGTCTCCACCTCCATCGTTCTACCCTGACACTGAGGTCCAGCACCGAGGGCCTTCTGGCAGTTCCCTCACTGTGAGAAGCGAAGTTACAGGGAACCATGCAGAGGGCCTTCTCTGTAGTGGCACCCGCCTTGTGGAACGCCCTCCCATCAGCTGTCAAAGAAATAAACAACTATCTGATGTTCAGAAGACATCTCAAGGCAGCCCTGTTTAGGGAAGTTTTTAATGACTGATGTTTTAATGTATTTTTAGTCTTTTGTTGGAAGCCGCCCAGGGTGGCTGGGGAAACCAAGCCAGATAGGCAGGGTATTATTATTATTACTACTACTACTACTACTAATAATAATGTTGGATGTTGGATTTTTTTTCTAGGTCATCAAAACCAGCTTCATCTTTGAACTTAGATAGTTCTTGTATCATTGCCAGTGATTACCAACACAGTTCTTCCCTTTATGTGTAATACAGTTGTACATTGGTTTTCAAACAGCTTAGTTCTCGAACATTTTGGCTCCCAAACGCCACAAACCCGGAAGTGACTGTTCCGGTTTGCGAACTATTTTTGGAAGCCAAACTTCCAACAGGGCTTCTGTGGCTTCCAAATGGCTGCAGGAGCTTCTTGCAGCCAATCAGAAGCTGCCCTTTGGTTTCCAAAAGTTTTGGAAGTCAAATGGATTCCGTTCCAATGTACGGCTGTACTACATTTTTGGTATGTCAGAGACTTTTTTGTAGTGAGAAACTAATAGGTAATGATGATGTGCAAGGCCAGTTCCAGACCAAATGGTGCTCTGGGTGCAGAGAATCTTTGCCATCCCCCCTCCCCCATTTGTTTAACTATTGAATACCTTGTTTTTAAAATTTCACTTATAGAATGGTTTTCATGTACAATTTCCATGGGTGATTTATCCCTGTCATGTGCTGTGATAAATTTGCACACATGGATCCATCACTCAGACTTGTACCACTTGCTGAATGCACACTTATTATATGATTTTTTTCCTGCAAATGATGACAAAGCTGGCTAAGCAGGTCAGTGTTGCCAACATTACAAGTGAAAATGAACTATTGTGACCCCCCTCAGTGGTTGAATAGATAGCCCATGATAGCAGCGACTCCACAAAAATGGGGACAGAGGGAGCTAGAGCTCCCCACCATAAGGTTGTTGAAGGGACCCCCGATAATGAGTAGGCAGAAGAACCCACCACCACACAACTGTCCCTCCTAGACTTAGCTGGAGATGCTGGGATTGAATCTGGGACCTTCTGCATGAGAAGCAGATGTTCTACTACTGAACTACATCCTTTCCCCAAGGGGAAGCTATTCAAGGATGAGCCATGGAAGACTAATTGACAGAAGAGAGGGAGAGGTACAACACTAGGACCCAGGAACTGGCAGCAGCATCTCACCTGTTGTACCTGGGAGAAGAGCTTAGCTCTGAATGAAGAAACTGTGCCAAGAGTTAAGGTGCGGACAGTGAGGTGGTAAACAGACTACAGCTGAGAATGGAAAGGCTGAACCATGAACAACGTGCTTCTGGTTTTGCTCTATCCACTTCCTCCATGCCATGCAGAATTCCATAAAGTTCTATCATGTTGCCACAAAAAGTCTCAAATGCAGCAACCTTTCTTTATTGTGGGGCAGCGGGGTGAGGGCCACCCTTGATCATTTGGGTGGCCCTTTTGGAACCTTTGACAACTTGGCAATAGCCTTTGTGAGGTGAGGCAACCAGAACTGTACGCGGTACCCCAAATGTGTTCACACTATAGGTTTGTATAATGACATAATATTGGCAGTTTTATTTTCAATGCCTTTCCAAATGATCCCAAGCATGGATTTTGCCTTTTCACAGCCCTACGCGGGTTGACATCTTCATTGAGTTATCTACAATGACCCCAATTTCCCGCCCACTCCTGCCCCGTGATTCAGGAGACAAAAGACTTCTGATGATGAGTCCTGAGAGAAATTGAAATGGACCAAACTGCCACATCCTTTCAGCAACTTTTTCTAGGGTTTTCATCCCATGCTGCTAAGGCACCCCTCTCTCTTTCTCTCAGTCTCTCCCCCCCCCCCCGGTGCCCCTCCTCTGACACAAAGCTTATTCCCCACCACAACTTTTAGGTTAAAGATGCATACTGTGCCATTGCTTACTGAATTGATGTGATGCAAGTACAGGGGAAGCTGAGGGCAGAAATATGTTTAGAAACATCTTCTGGAAGCCCCATCAATGAGATTTTATGCCTTGAAATGGAAAGAAAAGCATTCAAAAGCTGAGAGTTGGCAGGTATGCTTGTTAACCAGAAGAGGAGGGGGAGGCCTGTACCACCCCTGCTACCAGTAGAATGCAGTACTTGTGACTAGCCCACAATACATATATATCTGTGAAAAAGGAAGTTTTTAATGCCTGCTGTGTGAGAAAAGTACATTAGTTTGATAGACAACTCTTTGTTCTTCAACTAGGAGGAAACAATGGCAGCTGGAATAAAGGGAGTTACGGTGAAAGTCATCTTAAGTGCATCACAAATATGGAAAGAATGGATCAGAAGACTGTTTGAAAAGAACATACAGCCATGAGTTTTATAAGAACCTAGTACTTTAGGGCCTTCATTCATCTTGCATCAATGCAAATTGAAAGTATCACATTTACTTCAGCAGGGCTTGGATAATACAGCAAAATCCCTGCAATAGCAACATCCAGTAACCCACTGGCAAGGAAGGAGTTGGAAGAGGGGGTGGCGAGGGAAGGTGTGGATCTTATTCAAAAGTCACTCATTTCCCCCCTGGAGAAAATTCTCATTGAGTCTATTGAAATCGGGGCAGAAAGAAAGCTGAATAGGGTTCTACTGTGGCAGGCTAGAATGGTACCAGTTATGTAACCCCCATGAAAAGCTTCTTTAGAAACCTGGGCATTACTGTAAAAAAAAGAGAGACAAAAGGGAAAAGATTAATAAAAAATTCTCTTTAACACGTACTGTGGAACCAGATGATGAGATTAATCTTTTCCTTTCCCCTTCCAGTTTTGAAACTGGGATCGAGACAGATTGTGAGAAGTAGAAGCTTGTTTGGCTGACAAACTTTAAAAATCCAATGCAGTTGGATACAAATCTGCACCCCTTCAACTAAGTAATTTAGATGTACTGTGCAGGTGAGAAGGGCAAAAGAGATATTTCAACAATTATCTGTGCAAAGGTGTGGGAAAGCTGTGGCTTTCAAAATATTGTTGGACTACAAGTTTTATCATCTGGAGTCCAGTACAGTGGTACCTCGGGTTACATATGCTTCAGGTTACATACGCTTCAGGTTACAGACTCCGGTAACCCAGAAATAGTGCTTCAGGTTAAGAACTTTGCTTCAGGATGAGAACAGAAATCGTGCTCCACCGGCGTGGCGGCAGCAGGAGGCCCCATTAGTTAGAGTGGTGCTTCAGGTTAAGAACAGTTTCAGGTTAAGAACGGACCTCCGGAACGAATTAAGTACTTAACCCGAGGTACCACTGTAGTTATAATTAAAGGTAAAGGTACCCCTGCCCGTACGGGCCAGTCTTGCCAGACTCTAGGGTTGCGCGCTCATCTCACTCTATAGGCTGGGAGCCAGCGCTGTCCACAGACACTTCCGGGTCACGTGGCCAGCGTGACAAGCTGCATCTGGTGAGCCAGCGCAGCACACGGAACGCCATTTACCTTCCCGCTGGTAAGCGGTCCCTATTTATCTACTTGCACCCGGGGGTGCTTTCGAACTGCTAGGTTGGCAGGCGCTGGGACCGATCGGCGGGAGCGCACCCCACCGCGGGGATTTGAACCGCCGACCATGCGATCGGCAAGTCCTAGGCGCTGAGGTTTTACCCACAGCGCCACCTGCGTCCCAGTTGTAGTTATAATTACTGCAATTTAAATACATCCCACCACAGTGAGAAAAACTCTGGCCTGTAGTGCCTGCTCAGTCTGCTGACAGAATCTAACTGTCGATGGGCAACTTCAAAGCCCATTCCACCCTTCCTTCTTATAGTTCTTTATCTTTAAATCTCAACTTGGACCAGACAATGCTTCAGACTGAGAACTCTTTCAAATAGACTGCCTTCCATAAAGTAGGGCATATTGACAACCTTACTAACTTCTCCTACCACTAAGATGCTCTTACTGTTTCTGCCGTTCCAGTATATTTTTGATGTCTTACATTGCTTTTATTAACTGATAGCTACATTGAGAGCAGAATACTGAAGGATGGTGTCTAACTAATAATAAATGCATCACCAGGTGAGTGAGTGAGTAAGTGAACAAGGTGGGGAAAACATGGAAAAGGCAGGTCAAATGCTTGGATGCTGTCAGCAAAAGTTAACAGAAGTAAAACGAACTAAAGTGACTTACACCAGATGAGGATACATCCATTAGATTTCAATTTCAGATGTCCCATTGCGTATGCATTTCTCAGCACTGTGCTTCCATTTTATTAATGCTCCTCATTTTGTTATGTTATCCCAGCATTTGGCAACCTGTTCTAGAATCCAAATATTTAACGTAATCTGTGGTTAAGTGTATGTGAAGCTATAGCAGAAGTCAGCACTTGATTCATAAAACTTGTTTTGAGGATGCAATTCTGTTGGTGATCTCTCATCTATAGCAGCCGGGCTACATGCAGAATGTCTGATTTGGAAGTGAGAGTTTGCTGCAAGGCAGGACTGGGAAATGCTGTTAACGCGACTGCAGCTCCATACAAAATTGAATCGTGGTTATAGGGAAATATCCCATTTTGTCCTCTAAAAGATTTAATAACTCCATCTTTGGGGACTTTTGTATGAATTAAATGCTGCCTGAGGAAGACCAGCAGGAAAGGGGGGGGGGAAATCACTCAATTTTCTGTTCGTTCATCATATGGATGAAAAATCCGTGGAATGAGCAGGAAATCTGACCCAAGGGTTATTTTCACAAGTGGCTTAGAACACATTTGAGTGTGCAGTGAGGCACTAGTGAATGGTAATGTGGGATGGAAAGTGGAAGGGCACCATTAAAAATATTTTTGCATCAATGATTCCTTTCCAGGCTTGGAGAGAAAAATAAAAACTCACCACACTTTCAATGTTGTTGGCATCCATCTGTCTTGAGAGATAATGGAGTGTGCCTCTGGGGGTGAAGTCAAATCGTTGCATTAGCAGCACTGAAGTGCAAGCCTGGGCAGTGTGTATGGGGGTCCCAGATGGTAAGCCCCTCCTCTCAGCCTCGCTGATGTGGTCTGAAGGAAAGCAGAGCAATACATTTGGCACCAGTTTGGCTGCAGTAATTGCTGAAAGGAGGCGTACAAGGTGCCATTCAACTGTCTTAAGGACTCCACTCTGAAATTGTGTAGGATTTACTCCTTAGCCTTTTCTCCTGCCAAAGATATCCAGCAAGGGAGCAGGGGTTTAGGATCAGAGTTTTCCTTCCCCTAGATTGGCTACCTTCTCAGGTTTATAAGCCCCATCTGCCCCTAACTCCCCTCTACAGCAGGCTTCCTCAATCTCAGCCCTCCAGATGTTTTGAGACTACAATTCCCATCATCCCTGAACACTGGTCCTGCTAGCTAGGGATCATGGGAGTTGTAGGCCAAAAACATCTGGAGGGCCGAGGTTGAAGAAGCCTGCTCTACAGCATGTGCAGAAAGCTTCTTGACTGTTGGACCTACTTGTCTACTCAATCCACTGGAGCCTGTCTTCACATGTAGGGGAAGTCCCTAATGCACTAAGGGTTTGAGACTACCCTTACCTCATTTAGCGGCCAGTCGAAGCTGTTTCCCAGGGTGTGGCTGCTGTCTCATGCTGACAGCTTCTAGGAGCCACAGGTGATTGCTAAGTGCAGGGTGGAGACCAAAGGTGGGCAAACTACCCCAGAAAGAGCATGACATATCCCCCCCTATATACTACACCCCATACACCCCTCTTAATGTAGGTAGGGACATTGAATGTGTATGTGTGAGAACTAAATTGTGATTGAAAGTCCTGCCCACAACCTTCATGCATTTAGTTGAAGGTAAAAAATGACCCTCCGTGTGTACAAACTGTGTGTGTACCTGTGGGCTCAGTACATAAACTGGGGAACTGTGAAAACGGTACTCCTGTAAGGACACTTCCTATCTTCAGAGGAAAGTATGTACGTTTTGTCAAGGGCCCTCCATTGTGATCCTGCTCTTTTCACATGTGTTCAATGCACAAATTTTGAATGTGTGAAGACTCGTTAGTCTCCCTTTAAAAGATGAACTCGCTATCCCTGCAATGGTGGTGTGTGAATAGACATTCAATCTTAAGCAGATCTGCTGTCCAGGAGGGCTCCAGTCTTCTGC